AGTGAGCATGGCTCTGCAGATTTGTAGCTTCTGGTTTTCCAGAACTAGTGAAAGAATTCATTTCTAAGCCACTCAGTTTATGGTCATTTACAGAAACTAACATGGAATAACTGACTCTAGAAAATCACTTGAACTCAGCTTCCATGTCCATGTCCTTCACATACTTGGGGGAATAGGACAATGGCAGAAAAGGCTAAGTTGCCTGAACATTTCAGACAGGTATGTGGTTGTCTGATATCTCCCAGTTGATTCCAAAACATGGCTTCCCCTCCTTTGCAGAAGACTGCTGTAGAGTTAGAGGTTAGGCAATGTTATAAAGGTGGCCAGCTCTGGACTTGCTTGTGTTGGTATTAAAGAACTACAAGAGTTAGGAATAAAAATTAAGGATAAGTACAAAACGTACACACTGATGTCATAAAGCAAACTTCCCTTGAGGCCATTTTACCAAACTGAGTTATCATGTCTACTCTTGGAAAATTAAGAGAAGGTCCAGGCAAGAGGAATTAGAACGGTTAAAAAGAAAATGCAGTTTGCAGCACAGCATCTTATAAACCATTCTCTTTTTTCTTTGCCGTAAGACAGTTATTCCAAAATATGGAAGGTTAAAATGCTAAGTAGTAGTCAACCAACACAGAGTTTGAATAAGCAAAGAGAAATTAAAATGGGGTAATAGTTTGTTTTTCTGTATTTTATGAAATCAGCATGGTCTGTGGGTAGAGATGCCCCTTAAATGTTAAGTAGTTATGTACTGAAGTATAAATTGCAAGTTGACTTTTATAGCCCACATTGTCCTATTTAAAAGTTTAGCTCCCAACTTTGCAACCTTGAACTTAACGCTGTGTGTGCTAGGATTCACAACTTTGCAGAGAGCAATGGAAGTTAGGAGACCTGGGTTCTGGACTTGATTCCACCGTAGAGTAATTGTGACTCTATAAATCACTTTAGCTCTTTGACCTTCCACTTCCTGCTGTCAAATTGATGCCATAGGACTTTTCCAGTTCATGAGGATCTAACATAAGGAGATTTGCTTGCAATAAAACCCTACTGGAAATTTCCCCTGTTTTATCCACTACATTCTTTCTGGAATGTCATCCATAAATCCATATTCAGTGGGTCAGGGAGCAGACAATCCAAATTCACCATACTTCTTTCTTCTTCAGGAACCTGGGTAGAAGCTTTAAGGATTCTCTTTAGTTCTCCAGGCAGCCTGGATAGCACATCAGTATTCCCATTTTGCACGTAAGACCACCAAGGCTAAGAGTTGGAACAGTTTACCCCAGGCACTCCATCTTAAGGAGAAAAGGACCAGAATTCAAACCTAATCTCTTCTTCCATCAAAATGCAAGCTCCTTCCTTATAGTCATGCTGTTGCAATCATTTCTAAAAAATTGAAACAAATAATCAAAATAAAATTGGAGGGATGGTTTTGGATTCTCAGGCTCTTGCAACACAGATTTAGCAGTGTGTGTCTGTTTCTCTTGGAAATTTTTGATAAAGTACAACCAGTGAAGACATGTAAGTAGAGGACTATTACTAATTGAGAAGATCCCTACATGGGAATATGGATAGAGTGGGTCACTAAAGAAATTCAAAACTACCCAGAAACCAAGAAGAATTTCTGCTTACTAATTTGAATGTTTTCTAAGTTGAATAGTCAAGGAGACAAATTTCTCTTTAAAAAAGTACTTACTATATGTGACCTTTAATGAAATTCAGTACAGAACTAAGTTTCATGTGTTACTGGACTTTTTATAGAACAAAAGGGCAGTGACTAGCATTGAAACACATACCAGATTTTGTGACTAGGTGCTTCTTAAGCCACCCGCTTTCAGTCAGAGTTCTCTGACTTTCAACCAGTGGGCAATGTTCAGTGTACATTTTAACATATCTTCCACATGAGGAGGACTTTAAAAGTATTTTGAGATTTAAGTTACAGATGCCCTTTCTTATAGAAAGCAACTAACACTGAAGCCCTAGAGTTGTTAGATAAGAAAATATTGGATAATATGGCTCCAAATCACCCTTACTGGTAGTTCTACTAATAAATTCAGTTAAGATCCAAGGGTGACATTTTTTTAAGGCTACTAAAAGAAATGGTTTTTTGGCATCAGTGAGTCTCTTGGCTGTTTCTAAATGTTACCAGAGCTAGGATGATATTTGTTTTCTCTTTATCATGGTGTTTACATGCCCTGGCTTAGGCCACAAGTAAAATGCATTTCATGATGTCTTGGTCTCACCCCAAGCCCTAATGGATGTTTGTCTAAATGACAACACCCAGTTTAGCACTGTTAACACTGCAGTTAGGAGGTTGGGGAAGCGTGTGCTACATGTGACAGTCCAGGACATAAATGGTAAGATTGGGGATCTTCTGCTAAATGAACACTTCTTCCTCTAGTATCCAGTTCTGGAAGGAACTTTTTGTTCTGTCTTCCATAGTGCCTTAGTTTAAGAGTCAGACCATAAATATTCACTGAGTCAGAAAATCTCAAAACTTGATTATTGCCCCCTGTAAATGTAGTTCTGGACTTTCTCTTGGAAGCCCAGATTTCTCAGCCTTGACAAGGACAAGCTTATGACAGTTGAATAGTGTCATCCAGGATGAGAATGATGGGCTGCTGTCTGGGGTCAATTTCTTTGGCATCATGCACAGCATCCCTTTTGTAGGTTTGATTGTGAGTTTGATTAACATAGCAAGCCACTTTCCAGATATGCCTTCCATGGAGTATTTAGCAAAATGCACACGCATTTCTATTTTGTTCACCATTGTCCTGAGCACTGTATGTGGATGTGTTGGACTCAGTGGGACCTTTCAGGAAACAGCAGGACGATACTAGGCAGAGCATGACAGGTCTTTAGAGGGACGTGCCTGCTCTAACCCAGGCCCACAACCAGACTGTGGATTGAAAGGGGGAGCCATGAATTGAGCGTTGACAGCGGGCCACGGCGGTCCGAAGGCTCAGGTGGTTGTCAGCCATAAGTTTAGCTCAGCTCTTTGAGTAATTTGTCACGCCTCGCTCAGCCCCTGCTGGGCCAGCACGTGCCAGCTTAGTGTCAGAGTGCCTGTTCGCCAGACGGCCACTCAGGCCTAACGCCCTGCTGTTCCTCAGACCAGCGGCTTGCTGGGGCCATACACGGAGGGCCGAGCCTTGGCGACAGCCAAGTGCTGTGCAGAATAAGCGTGTTCATAATGAGACGTGAATGGCATTAGTAGGTCCCTCTAGAATTGGGTCTGAGCAGGCGCCTCTTGCTGAGGAAGTTTGGCAGTCTGTTCATTAAGGCAAGTCACCAGGAGTTCAGCCCACAGCCGTGGAGCTAGTTCTGGCTCATGCTGCCCAGGCCTGGGGCTGTTGTGACCATCTATAGGACAGATTATAAATCATCAGAGGGTCTACTTTTGAACTCTTCAAACTCATTTCTTCTTTTTTTATTTTTATTTTAAAGTTGCATAAAACAAGCTTAAAGAGAAATTCTAGTATTGCTTTCCATGAAGAGCATGCCCTATCTCTGGGAAACCCCAAACAGTAACCCCTAGTCTCATATGTCTTTTGAATACTTGAAATAGAATGGACAGAGGAACTGAGATGTTATCTTTTAATTAATTAAAATTTAAATCTAGATAGCCACATGTGATAAATGGCTACCATATCAGACGGCACAGATCTAGATTGTCTCTGGTCACCTCTTGGTGTGAAATCATCCTTGAATATAACAGAGTAGGAAGAGGAAGAATCCGTATTTAGAAATCAATGTGCATACTTTACCAAAAGAAAATAGAAAAGTGCATGCCTATTTTAAAACACAGACTCTACTGGAAGCTAATTGGAAAGGTATAATTATTACCAACTTACATTTTTCAAGAGGCCATCTTGAAAAGGTAGTCTTAAGATAAAGTGAGAAATGCTAAAATTACTTTTTCCTCTCTTGGAGCTACAAATTACAAACTGATGTTGATCCACATTCCCTATTTCCTGAAGAATTAGCACAATTTTCAAAATGACCAAAACACATCTTTTAACTTTTGCATTGATAATAAAGAAGGGGAAAATGAGACATCATGCCGACTTCCCCAAGTGTTAATTCATAAAGTCGTACGTGTGGTGCCTTCATCCATTGTCAGATTGTTCTGACGTTATCCTGTTATTGGAAGTGCATGATTCACCTTCCAAGGAAACAGAAGCCACACACAAAAGGGGAAGATTTGCTTTCTGCCCTGTGAAAGACTGCCACACGCAGGGGTCCTATTAAGACAGCTGGAAAGTTGCTTCGGCGTGTTACGCCTATAAGTTTTATTGGTGACTGGTTTTTGATTACACATTTGAATGCTGTGTGTTCCAGACTGCAATTTTAATTAAAAGCCAATAGTCTTTTTTTTTCTCTCAATTGCATTGTGCACTGTTTGCTAAATTCTCCTACATATTAATTCTGATTTTCTAATATTTAGAGTTTATTTTGGTTAGTGGCTCTGATGTCCCTTCAGACTATACCTTCTGGCCTTTTCTCTTCCCAGTAACTTGCATTTTCTTATTTTTTTAAAAATGTGTTCACCCTCATATCGCCAGTTCTTGCTTGAAGTATCTGTTCATTATGTCCGTAATCTCACAAGAATGTTTTATCCACCCAAATAGAAAATGAAGATCCAGGGTTGTCTCACAATGGTCAACATAAGGAAATGCCATTGCAATCAATGTTTCTTGTTTTTGTTTGCTTAAGTGGATTTTACTGATGCCTTGATGTTATTCTGTAACCATTAGTTTTTGTATTTTTTAGTGGAGCTAGTTTTGAATGTATTTAAAATTTAAGAGAAACTTAAGTGTTAAAATCCATATCTTACTAATTATGATGAATATTTAATTTTCTGACAAAATGCTAAAGAGATTGCAAAATACTGTTCTTTACACACAAACAGCAAAGTTGCATAAGTGTATTTAAAACAAAGTAGACTGTCACAGCTATGCATGCTGTTTTGCAAATGCATTTGTCTCCTTAACCGATTACTTCAGCTATGAAGAGAGAGCGCTGTATCTTGAAGCAATAATTCAGAACCACCGAGAAGTCATGACATTTGAGGATTTCGCAGCTCAAGTCTTTTCTCCCTCTCCCAGCTACTCCCTCAGTGGAACGGGTGAGTGTCTACATTATTCTCCTCTCACACGCTTAAGATGCATTCAAGTAGCAGATGTACACCTGTTTTTCACAGATAAATGCTTGCAAATTTAAGAAGAGCATTCTCCCTCTGAATCAACTAATGAATATCAAAAGGAATGATGACATTCATTTTAATTTGTTTTGTATCCGAGCTGTTCACTCCATTCCTTTTTTCAGCTATCCTGTTAACCCCCGAATCTAGCAAGGTTAATGAACTTTTTCTCAGTAATGTGCTCTGGTTCATTCAGGAGTGTGAGTTTCTTGCTGAGCTGGGAACATGTTGTTTAAAAGCGATGCCCGAATCAGTGCTTACTTATCAAAAAAGAGTTCCTCACAGTGGAAGCCGTTGCTACTAATGCTAAATGGGGATTATGCTGTCGAGATACTAGGGTCAGGGATTAATGCAGGAGACATGGAAGGACAGTGTCCCCAGGCCCATCATTACAGAGTGCGGCAAGCACACTTCTCTCTGGAGTGGTCGGTGTCATGTGGACAAGCCACTGACTGGAGCAGCACCTGGTGTGGAAACCATTTAGAAACTGGCTTACAATCATTTTCATGTATTAGGCCACTGGCAAATTGCAAACATTGCCATAGATTTCCTTATTTCTAGGCATTTAACTCTTTTTACATTTCCAATTTGAAAAAAAATATTTACACTGCCACTTAACAAGATGATACGATTACTATAAGTTCTTTTTTCAAAGACTAGTATTATTGTAAATTTTTGCATGTAGTTATAGATTAATTGCCTTTCAGACAGTAAATAGGATATTTAGTGATCACATGTTGAAACCCTCAATGCAGGGCTTCCGTCATCTTCCGCGGATTTCAACACAATCCGTGAGAGTGCTTAATAGATTTCTAACCTGTGTCAATTGTCTCTGAACACTGCCTCACTTCTCCTATTCTGACTTAACAAATATCTTACACACAAAGTGAAAAAAAATAAATTCAGTGAAATAAATCACTTACAAATAAAATCAGCCATGCATCATTGTTTAACATCGCTGGCTTCAATCCTTGCTTCTCGGAGCTTTGTTGGGAGATAAGAGGGAGAGGCATGCACTTGCACGGGGAGCCAGGAGCAGCAGGCAGAAGGCTTGGGAAGATAAGCAAGCTGGCAGAGGTGCGGGAGCAGCGATTTACATAATCACGCCTCTGCTTCCTGGTGAGGCGTCAAGAAACACTGGGATGGCCTCTATTGATCTTTGTTGAACTGGAATACTAAACAACATGAGAAAAGCTTATAACTTAAAGCTTTGATTAATGTTTCTTACATTAAAAAAGTAGAACAGCTGTGAATTGAATTCTTTTATACACTCTGCCAACATTCTATGACCAAAAAAAAAAAAAAAATCTGTTTCAATGGAAATGAAGATTTCATACCCAGACTGGCTAGAGGTTTAAAATTTTTTCTGATTTTTTTTTTTTTTTTTTTTTGCTTAAAGAACATGAAGGATCTGTAGCAAGCTGATTTTTTTAAAGATCTCCTTCAGCTTTTTCCCATCCTCATGAGATATTGGGACTTGATTTTTCAGTGCAGGAAAAAAAAAAAAAACTCTTGAAAAAGCATTTCATTTCTAAAAATTAAAGGAAAAATTTAAATAATTGCATTTTTTACATTCCTTGACTGTTATATTCTTTTTTTTTAGTCTGGTTCTTTTTTTTTTTTTTTAAGACATAATGAGGGAGAGAGAGAGAGAGAGAAAATTTTTAATATTTATTTTTTAGTTTTCGGCGGACACAACATCTTTGTTTGTATGTGGTGCTGAGGATCGAACCCGGGCCACATGCATGCCAGGCGAGCGCGCTACCGCTTGAGCCACATCCGCAGCCCAACTGTTATATTCTTAAGGTTGCAGATTAAGATGTTATCAAAACAAATAATGATGGGCTTTATTTTCTATGAATATTTTAGCCTCTATGTAAATTAATTTGATCTTTTCCCAAAATTTCATAATTATTTAAACCAATTCAAATGAGTCAGTGTGTAGATAACACCTTAAGTGAGACCCTAGGAATAATTTAAGATTTTATGACATCTACTTAGAGAGGATTGTTAATGGGCTTGAAAAGGTCATATTCTTTATAGAGTTACCTACCAGAATAGATTCTAACAGAATGTGAGTATGGGGATTGGAACTTTTACAAAAGGAACTTGAAATCCAATGCCAGATATCAAAAACAGATGCTACTTCTTCATCTTGTCAGATTAACATCAGTATTATGTTTCATAATGTTCATGGTTTAGGGAATTCAGTGTTGAGTGATAAAATCTTTTATACGTATATCACATCTGTCCTTCAGTATGATTTTAAGTCTGTGCATAATGTTCTCTTTTAACACTTTGTGTATCTAACCTTAAATGATTAAGAAGAAAGGGAAAATGATTTGAACTGGAATTGTGGGGGTGGTATAATGAGGATGTAACATGTCAGCACCACATACAGTCAGGTTCTCAGAACCCCATCCTCTTCTTATTTACACACCAGCTTTGCTTTTGAGGAATCCTTATCCCCATCTCTTAGTACTTTTACAGATGAAAATGTTTTTTATTTATTCATAGCATTTGTTTTTGTTTTTTGTTTTCCATGGGACAAGTACAGTCAAACCCAGATGAGCCAGGCAGCTTAAAGTAAGAAACTGAGGTGAAGTCTGCCCTTCCAAGCAACAAGCCAACTGGAAAAATCGACCCTGAGCAGCTTAAGCTCCCACAGTGCACTTAGGACCCAATCAGACCATCTCTGGCCATCATTGTCATCAAAGCAGGCCTTGGGCTTCTGCTCACATGCATATGCACAATCTGAGGAATTAGGCGCTCCTAGGTTTTGTTTTGTTTTGTTTTTTGGTATATGCATAACAAAAAGCTTTATCCTTAAGAGGGAGAGTCACCTGAGTAGTGTATTTATTCCACACTATATTTGTTATACATGGCATGCAGCCCCCACTGCTAAAAGAAAGGCCCCGCTATCAGCCTTTGAAAAGAATGTGTTGTGCCCAGAGATGCCACTGTTGGGAAATGCCCTGTTCTCACAGCTTCCCTGCCCAGGTGCTATCTACCCAAGGAGCCCTGGGGAGTGGGTGGCCAAAGGAAGTGCTTCTATCCATGATGCCTTGTCAACTGCAGCTAGGGATGGAAGGCTGATACATAAGTGCTTAGCTTTTGTCAAAGGGCTTTAAGAAAAAAATATATATATATATTCATTTTCCGAATAAGAAAATGTTGTTTTAAAACTACCTTGCTTCTTTCTGTCAATTACCCATTACACAGTTGGTATTTGAACAACTTTTTACCTAACTTGTGGTTTGCCTTCCCTATTGACCAGTAATAAACCAATGTTACAATATTAACTGTTTTATTGCTATAGTTAATACAATATAATTAATAAGATGGTTAATATTTTAACCATTATTTAAATATTTGTTGCAATTAACACGTATATGTTCTATGCATACATGTTTATATGCATGTAACCCACATGCCTATGTGGTAACATGTTTTCAAGCATGTTACCAAGGAAGGGGGCCAGCAGAAAGGCCTATAAAGGGTTAACTGAAATGGGCACCCTCGAGTGCTGGGGAGGGACTGATGTAATCACTGCAGCTCACAGCCAAGTGCATCTGTTCACCATGAGGTCATTCTTCTGCATGCTAATGAGTTGGAGAATCTAGTCTAATGTTTGACATTATCAAAAAGGACATAAATAGTGTAAATCTTTAGTTTTTGGAAGCTCCTCCTAAAAATCAAAAGAGAAAAGAAACTTTTGCTTGGACTTGAGATATTTTTTCCTGAACCACTCTAGAGATTGTACCTGAACTTTAAAATCTGGGAGGAATCTGTTGATAATCCCCAAATCACTATTATAGTCATAGCTAGCAATTTTGTAGTCAAGGACTATAGGTATGTCTAATTTTAATGTCTAGTTTTAAGCAGTTCCAAGTACCTTGATCAGAAGTTTATAAAGATGGATTTTTACCAAAGAATGTCCAAAACCAAATTAAATGAGAGTTGTTCCCATTGTACCCCGATTGACTTGCATTTGTTGAAGATGCCAATGCTGGTTATGGTTCCTTTCTACTTCAATATTGCTATAGAGGGCCAGCAGAGGGAGCACAGGTCTTTGTTTATTTGTTAGCCCTCATAAACACAGCATTTGATTTTGCTAAGACATGGTCAGTAATACTTTCTCCTTCGTGATAAGCTGAATTGGAAAGGATCCAGGACTTAGAACAAGTGGGAGGAATTGCTTCACTCTGCTCCATCCAGTTCTGCCACTTTCATGAAGGTCCTATTTGGAGTTTAAAACAGATAAATCACTGTCAGTATTAGGATGCTACTGCTATGCCTACCATAGCCCCAAACTGCAAACTTTCATCTTTCTCACAATGGTATGGAAAGCCCTCTTGGAAGAGATTATTATGTTCATATACCTCATAGAACATAATTTTATAATACTTTTCCACAACAAAATCATTATAGGAAGTTCACAGAAACTTTACTAGAAAACAGCTGGTGCCATTGTGTCTTGCTTGGTAGCCAATAAAATTTACTCACAAAGCTGGAGACAGAGCACTCCTGTCACGCATTGGCTCCAGAGTGAATCTGGGATGGAGATGATGCATGACTAGTTGTGTGACTCACAGGCCTCTGCCCCTAGGGGTAAAGCTATACCATCTTTCTCTTGCTGAGTCCTTCATACCATACCCTGTGGTTACATGTTGCAGGCTTGTCAATCTGAGTGCAGATCCTAATAGGAAGATTTTGTTGACTCTTTCACTGGTAAGTTAATAATCAAAGTAGCTTCCAGGAGCTGGGGTTGTGGTAGAGTGCTTGCTTAGCACCTGTGAGGCACTGGGTTTGATCCTCAGCACCACATAAAAATAAAATAAAAATATTGTATCCACCTAAAACTAAAAAATAAATATTTAAAATTTTTAAAAAGTAGCTTCCAGAAACAGACAAAGTAAATCCTA